GTGGAGCCCAATGTGGGGCTTAAACTCATGACCATGAGATTAAGACCTAAGCTGAGGGCAGCCCTTGTGGTGCAGCGGTGTAGCGCTGCCTGCAGCCCAGGGTGTGATCCTGGAGACCCAGGATCGAGTCCCACGTCGGGCTCCCTGCATGGAGCCTGCTTCTCCCTCTGCTTGTGTCTCTGCCTCTCTCTCTCTCTCTCTCTGAATAAATAATTAAATAAATCTTAAAAAAAAAAAAAAGACCTGAGCTGAGATCAAGGGGTGGACACTTAACTGATGGAGCCACCAGGCATCTTTTTCTCAAATGCACATCTTATCTTATTGTTGCCTTACTTTCACCCGTGGAAGATTGCTCAGGGCTCTTGAATAAAGATAAGCCTCCACAGGTATTCATGTTCCCCATCAAAGTATATGAAAAATCACCCACAGGCAGGATCCAGCCCATAAGTGGGAGGTTGTTTTGTTTTGTTTTTTAAAGATCAACTGGTTTCCAATATTTAAAAATTAAAAAAAAATATGACATAAATATTTGATTCTAACATCTATTGAAAATCAGAAAAATCTATCAGCTGTAGCCCAGTATCTGCCATGCAAACAATAGGAGCTGCTCTCACTGGACAGGGCATGTCCCCCTGGCCGCCACAGGCCCACCTTCATTGTACTCACAGTGTGTGGGCTTCCTGCCCCTCGGGATATGGCCTCTGCTTACCTTTCTAGTGCCTCCCTACTCTCCCTTTCAGTGCCTCCCAGTCCCCCCTGGGGTTTCTGCCTCTGGACAGGGCCTTCACTTAAACTGTCCCCTTGGCCTGGAACACTCTCCTGCCTCTGTTCCCCTCTCTATCTCCATCAGCCTGGCCTGGGTAAATCCTACTAATCCTCAAAGCATGAGTTTAAATGTCACTTCTACAGAAAAACTAACCATTCCTGGCACCTTGTTCTAGGAGAGTGCCCTACCTTTCCCCCATCATGCTAGTGATCTTTGGTTACTTGTGTTTCCTATGAACTCCCCAAGGGCAAGGACTAGTCTGATCTCTGTAACGGCCACCAGCAATCAGCCTGACACAGAGCAGCTTTCTAAATACTTGCTGAATGAGGGAATAAACTTGCAACCTCTGGATTTTGTTTACATACACATCAGAAAGACAAGATCTACCAGAGGGAAAAGATGCAGAAGCAAACAGAAATAATAGCACGGGACAGGCATCTGTGCAAGGTGTCTGTTCCGGGGACATGCTGAATAGTGTCACTGTTTGCCAAACACATTCCCCAGAGAGTCATGCTGGAGTGGAGCTTGGGGACTTGGAACTTGCAAGCATGCCTGCTACCAAGGAGGACTCTGGTTCATGGACATGGGTGACCTGCCTAGTCACAAGGTCCCCGCAGAGTAGGAGCATTCTAAATGTCAGAATAAGAATACGCCCAGTTCATGTACTTGCCCAAAGCTACAGCTACAGCATCCATCTCAGTATTGAAGAGTATATTGAATGAGTAAAGGAGTAAGGGAATGAAGAGGCAAGACAGTTTGTCCCTCCCAAAATTCACATGTTGAAACCTAACCCCAAGCCGGGGACTCTAGGACATGTAGCCTCTGCGAGGTGATTAAGTAATAAGGGCAGAGCCTTTATCCGAAAAGACCTGAAAAAGGTTTCTCTCCCCATTTGAGGACACAGAAAGAAGGTGGCCACCCACAAGGCAGGAAGTGAGCCCTCTCCAGATCTGGCCCCCTGATCTCAGACTTCCCACCTCCAGAACCGTGAGAGGGACAAACTGTCTTGTTTGTAAGCTGCCCAGCCTATGGCATCTGTTACAGCAGCCTGAGCTAAGACAGGAGCCCAGTGGCAGAAAGGACCTGACACTGATTTACAAGAGGAGAGCGTGATGAGGAGTTGGAACTAATCTTGAAAGGGGAAAGCTTAGCTTCTATGGAGGCAGATACTTCCTTTTTTATTCTAGGAGGACAACAGTCGTATTCGTTGGCTTTAAAATGCATTTTTATGTTTAGGGGACACAGGCTGTCATTGTTACATTGCCTTTATTTTTGTCACACACACATAATGTTGACTTTTAGAATCTCAAAATATTTTAAAAACAAAAAGCAAAAGAGTCTTTAATGTGGGATCTCACTTTGGTAAGGAGACTATTTCCATGTGCTTGCGTTAATTATAGAAATCATCATGCATGTGACAACCACAAATATAAAGTGTGAATTGTTTTTGTTTTTGCAAGAGAAAAACAAAACTACGGCCATAAACCCAAGAGGGTTGATAATGAAAGAGCAGAAGCAGATGCTTCTGAAGTGACCCGGATCAGGTGAAGTATAAAAAGTCATAGAAAATAAAAAGTGTTAGCAAACATTCGAAATTATTTTTAAATGATAAATGTCATTCAGCTCCCACTATCTTGCCATGCTTGACTCCTCAGCTTATAAAACCTTCCCTGAATGAGGCAGGAGCTGGCTCTAGGGTCGCTAGGCTCAGGCACTAAAGGGCCCTGTCCTCTCCCTACCTAAGCTCTTTCTGTCTTACTGTGATTTATAGAGAGAAGCATATATTTGGTCTTCCTCCGATTTCTGGTACCCAGCTCCTAAAACCCTTGGACTTTCCTAAGTGATAAGAGTAATAAAAGTATCTTGATATTCACCAAACCCTTTTAAGCCACACCTCAGTTTAGGTTAATGAAGTGTCTTCTGGAAAGCACCTAAAATGGGAGCTAGGTGGGGATCCCTGGGTGGCTCAGCGGTTTAGCGCCTGCCTTAGGCCCAGGGCATGATCCTGGAGTCCCGGGATCGAGTCCTGCATCGGGCTCCCTGCATGGAGCCTGCTTCTCCCTCTGCCTGTGTCTCTGCTTCTCTCTCTCTCTCTGTGTGTGTGTGTCTCTCATGAATAAATAAATAAAATCTTTAAAAAAAAAAAAAGGGAGCTAGGTGCCAGTGGAGCCAAGTGACCCACAATCTCCAGGGAGGGGCTGCAGACTGAGTTCTGACACCAATGGCCAATGGCCTAAACAATAAACAACCCTGCCTGCCTTTGTAATGAAGCTTCCATAAAACCCCCAAAGGATGGGGTTCGGAGAGCTTCCAGATTGATGCACCCATGGAGATTCTGGGAGAGTGCCACCCTGGAGAAGGCAGGGAAGCTATGCCCTCCACATCTCTTGCCCTGTGTGTCTCTCTCACCTGGCACTTCTGAGTTCTATCTTTTTATAATAAACCAGCATTCTCATCAGTTGACTGGCCCCCTGTGTCCTGTGAGCTGTTCTAACCAGATAACCGGACCCAAGGAGAAGGTGGTAGGAACCACTGATTTATAGCCAGTCAGCAGCGCAGGTGACAACCTGGACTTGCAATTGGCATCTGAAGTGGGGACAGTCTTGTGGGACTGAGCCCTTACCCCGTGGGGTCTGACACTGTGTCCAGGTAGATGATGTCAGAATTGAGCTGAATTAGAGGACACCCAGCCGGTATCAGAGCATCAGATGTGGGGAAAGAAGCCGCACATCAGAATCAGTGTCAGAATCCTGCTCACACTCCCCAAGAACACAGCGTGCCCTGTTCTTAGCTGTGTAAGACATGCCCCTACGTGGGTCTGCAAGCAGACAGACCCGGGTCCTGGTTTCAGCTCCATGTTTTTATGAGTCAATTCTATACCTCACCTCCCTCAGCTCCCACTTCCACAGCTGCGGAGGGGAGCTGCTCACAGAGTAGCTGTGAGGATTTGGATGGCATAAAAAATAAGCACTGTGCACTGTCATGTCTGCTCCTACCGCCAGCCTCCCCCCACAGGGGTGCTGCTCACAGGGTTTGCCAGGTGTCCTCTGTTCAAGCACCAGGCCGTGGTGGGCAGTGGGCATCCCACCATCACCAGTGGTCCATCTCCTCCCTCCCTCTGGATCCTCCAGTGTACGTGGGAAGGCCATGCTGTTCTTCCCTCATCCTGGTGGCAGCAAGTCTGTGGACTCCATCCCCATCCCCTCTCCCCAGGGCCACCACCTCTGTCCCTCTCTCCGGTCTCTGCTGGGTCCTCCCCTCCTCCCTTCCTACCCTTCCCACTGCAGTCCACACCATCCCCACCCCCAGAGCCGCCTCCTAACTTGGACCTGGCCACGTCACTCCCCTGCTCAAGGGCCACTGGGCTCCCTAGTTCCCCGGGATGAAGCCTACTGGGGCTCAGCAAACAGGCACCTCGCCTCTCACACTCCCCACACAGGTTCTCCCCTCAGTCCTCAAGGTACTTGAATCCTGGCAGGGCCAGTCCTCATCTCAGGCCTTTCCTTCCATTATCCCTTTCTCTGCAATATCTTCTCTCCAAACTCCATTGTCACCTGCCTAACTCTTGCTCACCTGCAGAGCTCCATTTAGAGGCCACCTCTTTTGGGAAGTCTTCTTTGATCCCGCCCTCCCCACCCCAACCTGGGTGAGGCTTTCTTCCTTGGCTACACAGCAAATCAACTGTTGAACTAGGATTCAAAAGTCAGGCCCTCCTGCTTCCAAAACAAGCAGATCACTCAATCACATATTTACTTAGGAAAAAAACACTGAGGCAAAGGAACAGAACATCTTGGAAAGATTCCTGGGCTGTAGTAAATGAAAACAGCAAGCTGCAGAACAATGTTCATGGCATGATTCCATTAAAAAAAAAAAAACTATAGATGTTTATATAGGTTTGTATACGCAAAGAAGAAAGCCGGGATCAATACAAATTGGGCTGTTGACAACAGCTATTGGGTAGGTGGATCTGAACATTCCATAAGGTTTGAATTTGTTATGTATTCTTTATGTTCTAAAAAAATAACTCCCCAAAATCAAACACAATCAAAGGAACTCACAACTTTCCTCCAATAATAAGTGAAGGACCTGAGTGCTCAGGAATTCTGAGACACAGGGATGAGTATTTGGAGGCAGGACTCACCTCCAAATACCCTTGGTCCTGGAAGGGACCCGGGGAGCCGAGAGGATGGTATACAATGAGAAGGGTCGCAGTGGGTCAGTGAGCCACGCTTACCTTCCCCAGCAGCTCAGGCAGGCCCAGCAGCTGCCCGGTGAACACACCGATGCAGATGAAGATGGCAGTCACCTGCCCCAGAGCGCCACGGATCTCCTTGGGTGAGATCTCATTCAGGTACATGGGGAGCACGCTGAGCGAGATGCCTGTGAAGGAAACATGGTGGCTGAGAGGGCTGCCTTCTCTGAGGGAGGAGCACTCTGGTCAAGGAGAGGACCATCGTCCTCAAGGAAGACTGGTCAGAGCCCCTCCTGCCGTGCTCTGACAAGAACAACAGTGTAGCCACAACACCACTCCCAGCATTCTGTACAGACTGCTGATGCTTTCACATGCCCTGTATCATTTCATCCATAAGGTGGGGCTTGGAGGTAAATTTCAGAGAAGCAGAAATGGATGATGATGGTGATGGTGGAGGTGAAGGTGGTGGTGGTGTTGGTGATGGAGGAGATGGTGATGACGGTGGTGGTTGGTGGTAATGATGATGGTTATTGTGGTACTGGTAGTGGCGGTGATGATGATGATGGTGATGGTAGAGATGGTGATGGTGGTGGTGGTGGTGGTAATGGTGGTGAGGGTGGTAGAGGTGGTATTGGTATTGGTGGTGATGATGATGGTGATAATGATGGTGAAGGTGATGGTAGTAGAGGTGGTGGTAGTGGTGATGGTAGTGATGATGGTGATGGTGGTGAAGGTGGTAGTGGTAGTGATGGTGAGAGTGCAGTGCCAGTCCCAGGACAGGCGTTAATTGACATGTACTGAATGAGTCCCCATGACACTGTCACCATACTATTATTTATTTAATCCAGGCTGCAGAAAGGCCCAGTGGTGGGGCACCAGTGATTGGGACTTGCACACCCCAGCAGGCTGGTCCTTGGTTACAACTGTAGTCCATGGAAACAGGCCCCAGTGGCCAGCTGGATGGGGGCAGAGACTCCGAGAAGTGAGCAGAGGGCAGTGTGCCTCTGGCTCTTATCTAAAACATCAACAACAGTTCCAATGTACTGAGCCTGCCATAGCTTCCAGAATGCCTTCTCCCTCTTCAGGCTGCATGGCCTGATGGTACTCGAGGAGCAGTCAGGGGCACACTCCCTCACATGGGGCTAGCTTAGCTTTCCAATTCCTCCTAGAGTCCAATTTGAGCAGCAGCTTTCAGCTGTTGAAAGCAGAAAGGACCTCAGAAAATATTCTCTGGGGAAATCAGAGATGCTGAAGGAAACACTTTAGGGACAACTGGATATGTGCATTTTCCTACTGTGGTGCAGAAAAAAATTGAGTCCAGTCCAAAGCATTTGACTAAATATAAGTCTTAACTTTTGAAAATTAAAATATGACACACATCCTTAAATTGCACAATGGAGTCTGGTGAATCACCACAAATGCACACAAATGCCTCTCATCTGTGCAAACCCCACCCAGGGCAAGAATCAACCTGCACTGCCAGCACCCCAGAAGCCCCCCATCCTGTGCTTACTCAGAATCTTCATCCTCCCCCTTCTTCCCAAAGGTCACTGCCAGCCTGCCTGCTATCACCAAAGCTCTCTTATATAACTTAACTTTGGCCTTGCTGATCCTCTCAAATGAAAATCTCCTTTCTAACTTCTTGAGATGGAAACTTAGGTCATTGATTTTTAGCCTTTCCTGTTTTATATATTTGCATTTGAGGTTATAAATTTTACCCAGAACATGGCTTTAACTAGCTGTATTCCACAAGTCTGGATATGTCTTAAGTAGTATTTTCACTACCATTTAATCCAAACTATTTTAAAATTTCTATCATGACTTCTTTTTGTCCCTCTGATTACTCAGAAGTACACAATCTTTAGTGTACATGCCACTTACATCTTAATATCCAAATATATGAGAATTTTCCTTTTTTTTGTAATTAGCTTCTGACATAATTCTATTGTGGTCATGGAACACAGCCTAATTTTAATCCTTTGAACTGTGTTGAGACTTGCTTTATGGTTCATCATATGATCAGTTTTTATAAATGGCCCATGAATGCTGAAAAGGAATGCGTGTTTTACACCTGGAGGTTTATGTTCCGCATATATTAATTAGCTCATATTTGTTCATTGTGTCCCTCAAACCTTCTACGACTGATGTTTTTGTCCACTTGTTCTATCAGTTACTGAAACGGTATTTCTCATTTTAGTTTGGCTAATTTTTAATTCATACTCATTTTCAGTTTACACATTTTGATACTTTATATGATGTTCATGTCAACTTTAGAACTGAAAGTTTCATCATCATGAAATCTCTCTTATGTCTCCAGACCTCCTTCTTGCCTTAAGATCTACTTAGTCTAGGGGCACCTGGGTGGCTGAGTGGTTGAGCATCTGCCTTTAGCTCAGGACACGATCCCAGGGTCCTGGGATCGAGTCCTAAATCAGGCTTGCCACAGGGAGCCTGCTTCCCCCTCTGCCTGTGTCTCTGCCTCTCTTTCTGTGTCTTTCATGAATAAAAAAAATCTACTTAGTCTGTAATCAGTGTTGCAGTACTGGATTTATGAGCATAGGTTTTTCCTATGATTTTATTTTTAATCTTCCTATATCTTTATATCTAAGCTATATCCAAGGCAACCATTTTTACCTTTTAATTGGAGTATTAAGTCTATTTATGGATATTCTTGTGTTTAAATATAACATCCTACCATTTGCTATTCTATGTGGCACTCTTCTATATTCTGTTTTTTAAGTCTTTATTTAAATTCAATTTAGTTGGAATATATTGTTTTCTCTCTTCTCTTGCCTTCTTCTGGATTAAGTATTTTTAAGTCATTTGATTTTTCTATGTTATTTTCTCTTCTTTTAATAATTGCTCCAGAAATCATTTCATGAATCCGTGTTTTAGTGAAATCTAATATAAATTAGTACTTTTAGTATTTCCTGGACAACGCAAAGAATTTAATATACACCAACTTCTCTTATTGCCTTCCTGATTCACATGCTATTTTAATTGCATATTTTAATTTTTTTCTTTTCACACACACATAATATACATAGACACAGATACTCAGACACACATACACACATGGATACACATACATATACACACAGACTCAGACACACACACAGAGACACACCCCTATATAGTATCTGAACATTGTCAGGTAGCTTTGTTGCTATCTGTACTGTACTTGTGAGGAAATGGAAGCTCAGAGGGGTAAAGAAATCTGTCTAAGGTCACCCAGCTGGTAAGCAGCAGGGCTGAGGCCAGAATCCACCCTTCTGAGCACCTCACATGCTCTTTGTCAGGTTAAAATTGGACTCAAATCAGTAATGATAAATATTATTAGTGTTTTTGCTAGTTTCCTACTGCAACTGTAACAAACTGCCACAAACTTAGTGATGTAAAACAAAATAAACTCATTATCACACAGTTCTGGGGGTCCAAAGTCTAAAATGGGACTTGGGCTAAAATCAAGGTGACAGCAGGCCTGTGATCCTTCTGGAGGCTCTAGGAGAAAGTCTGCTTCCTCACCTTTCCCAGCTTCCAGGGACACCTACATCCCTTGGCTCATGGTCCCTCCCTGCCTCTGTATCACTACAGCCTCTGCTCCTACCCTCATGTCTCCTTTCTCTGGCTCTGACTCCTCCTTCCTCTTTCACCTATCAGGGCCCCTGTGATTTTATGGGACTCACCTGGATAATCCAGGGTAAACTCGCCACCTAAGGTCCTTAACTTAATCATATCTACAAAGTCCCTTTGCCATGTAAGCTAGTTCCAGAGGTGAGGATGTGAACATCTTTGAGGCATTAGACAGGATTATGGTAAATAATAAATAATATGTTTATAAGAGCAGCCCACACCCTTGCTGGGAGCCCATACTGGGACATAACTGGCGGGGAGGTCCTCGGGTATGGTACACATGAGCTGACCCCACCAGAGAGAGGGCGGGTGTTTCTGCCCTATACGCTTACTTCACAATCACCTATTCTGTGATGTTTAATGAGTGAGCAATACAGCTGTGTGTGGCATGTGAGGTGCAGAAGCTTTAAGAGAATATTCAAGATAGTAGCTCCAAGGTGAGTACAAAAAGGAGCCAAGACAGATTTTTAGAGCTGGTAGTGACCTCAGTTACTAGAGTCCAGTCCTCCTTGCTTTCTAGATGACATTACCAGCCCAGAGAGGTGAAATGGTGGTCCCACAGTCACCTGTCAAGTCACTGGTAGAACCAGAACTTAAAGTCACATCCTTGACCCTGATTTCATGTTCTTTCCACGTCAGATGCTTCTCTAAATGCTCCTGCTCAAATCTGTCCACCGAGACCAGCTAATTCGGTAGATGAGCTTGTCCATGAGAGAGCTCCTAGTGCAGTGGACATGGACTTGCACCTGGGGAGTGTGTGGTCCTGGGAGGGCTTGGCAGGAACCTGTCCAATGCAACCTTCCACAAACACAAAACACCTCTGTACTCTTCTACTTTGACTTTATAATCTGCATGGATTTTTTTTTGTCTCTCACACCATGCTGCATCAAGTTGTTTCAATGTAAAAATGTGTTTATCTGTTTGCCAAGCTTTTTAGAGGAAGGACATTTGGGGAAGGTGTCCTGGGTTTCTACTATAGTCCCAAATACTGCCCACAAACCTAGCCTGAGCAGCATAGCCTTCCAAAAATCCTCCAGACTTATTACTTGGCTTTCAATTATTTATTACAAGCAGGACAGCCAGTTCATCTCTTGGCCAGCAATTTTCCCTTCTTTCTGACCAATGGCCTTACTTTAAATGCCTGCAAGTCCCTGTCTCTGCTTTGAGAGGGTTTGATGAGAATTAGTGACACAAAACCTGCATGTCTTGGTCTACCTCCAATAGGCTAGGCGCCAGAAGTCAGAGGAGTCAGGTTTTTTCTCCCCTCCTTGTTTTTACCCTTTTTTTCTCTGTTTCTTTTTGAAAAACTTATCAGAAAAGGGTCCTAACAGACATCTGACTTGAATATGGGCCTTTATAAAAATGGCACCTCTCTTCAATTCCAGCTTATTTTTAACAAAGGAAACTCAGAGAGAAACGTTCTGTGCAGTGTCACCTTCCCCCAGAATAGGTGGAGAGACAAAACAACTGGAAAGAGGCTAATGGATAAAATATAAACCTGCCCAAAAGGGAGGCCCTCGGGAACCTCTGGTGGGCATCTCCCCCAGCCTTTGTTCTAAGCAGACAGGGCCTCTGAAACCAGGCATTTCCGTCCACACCCAGGATCTGTACCTTATCAGCTGAGAATAAAAATAATAGCACCATTGCATCTGAATCTTTGGGGTAAATCCCCAACAGTGCAATTGCTGGGTCGTAGGGCAGGTCGAATGGATAAAGAAGATGTGGTTCATGTATACAATGCAATATTACTCAGCCATTAGAAACGACAAATACCCCCCATTTGCTTCAACGTGGATGGAACTGGAGGGTATTATGCTGAGTGAAGTAAGTCAATCGGAAAAGGACAATCATTATATGTTCTCATTCATTTGGGGAATATAAATAATAGTGAAAGGGAATATAAGGGAAGGGAGAAGAAATGAGTGGGAAATATCAGAAAGGGAGACAGAACATAAAGACTCCTAACTCTGGGAAAGAACTAGGGGTGGTGGAAGGGGAGGTGGGTGGGGGGTGGGGGTGAATGGGTGACGGGCACTGAGGGGTACACTTGATGGGATGAGCACTGGGTGTTATTCTGTATGTTGGTAAATTGAACACCAATAAAAAATTAATTTATTTAAAAAAATATAATTACTCATAGAGTTTTACAATAAATAAATAAATAAATAAATAAATAAATAAATAAATAAATAAATAAATGCACCAATTATGGCAATGATCCCATCACCATTCCTGGCATTGGGGGAAGGCACTGTAGGCCTGGAATGTACGAAGTGCTTGACACATGCCTCCCATCAGTTAATTGTTGCATACCCCACCAGAGAGGCCTTCTGATTAAGCCCCTTTGCCAAGTCAGGGAAAGAGGCTAAGACAGCGAGACACAATGCTGCTGTGTGGCCCCACGGGTTCACACCCCTGGAGTCTGCATCCCTGGGGCTTAGGTTCTTCTGACATCAATGACGCCCCTGGTCATGGATGGGACTTGGCTTGGCTAGTGGGACACTGACAAATGTGCCATGAGCAGTGACTCAGCAAGTGCTTGCCTGTGGAGTCTCGCTCCCATTAGCACTCTGCAGCACTCTGCAGCACTCTGAGAATCCCCCTACCACAGGCTGAGAGATCACGGGGAGCAGAGATGAGCTGGCCCTGCTGGGATCCTCTGAGACCAACCCAGTGGCCAACAACCAAACAAGTGAGTGAGATCATCTGCAGTACCCCCACTGCTAACTGCTCTGTAGTCCACCACAGCAGAGAGCAGTGGAGCTGGCCCACGTTAGAACTGCCCCACCAGGGACAGCTCGGTGGCTCAGTGGCTGGGCGTCTGCCTTTGGCTTGGGGAGTAACCCAGAGTTCTGGGATCGAGTTCCGTATCAGGCTCCTTGCATGGGGCCTGCTTCTCCTGTCTCTGCCTCTCTCTGCCTCTCTCTGTGTTTCTCATGAATAAGTAAATAAAATCCTTAAAAAAAAAAAAAAAAAAAAAGAACTGTCCCACCAGCTCACAGAACTATAAGCTCAACACAAAGGTTATTGCTTTAAGCCATTATGTTTCAGGTGCTATTTTTTTTAATGTAGCAAAATCTAACTGATACAAAGTAATGAAATTAAGCCAGGTGAGTGGGAAAACCCAGTCCTTGTAGAATGTACAGCCCTCAGCCTTAACCACTTTACTGTCCCATGTTTCTAAGCCTCAGTGTCCTTGATGCAAAATGACAAAATAACAGTCCTTCAGCATTAGCAGGAGATCAGAGCAGAGGAAACCACCAACATGACTGGTTAATTACAAAACACCACATGAACTCCAAGCATTAGGGAGACAGAACATGAAAGACTCCTAACTCTGGGAAACGAACTAGGGGTGGTGGAAGGGGAGGTGGGCGGGGGGTGGGGGTGACTGGGTGACGGGCACTGAGGTGGGCACTTGACGGGATGAGCACTGGGTGTTATGCTATATGTTGGCAAATTGAACACCAATAAAAAATAAATTTATTAAAAAGAAAACTCTAAGCATTATTCTTACAAATTAACATTTCTATAGCTAACTCCTTCCTACTTGAATACTAAGACAGAGGAATAATTTTACCCCGAGTCTGGTTATAACTAATCTGGAAATACTTCCTGCCATCCAAGCAGGTAAGGGACAGGAAGTCTTTTCCCCTGCCTTCCTCAGGCACCCACTCTCCTGCTCACCTCTCCCTGATGTACACTTGTTGTACAGCTCACTGGCGAAGCCTGGTGCCCACTCTCATCGTGCAGGAATCAGCAAGGAAGGGAATTAGCCTTTAATGAGCTCACAGGTTCCAACTGCATTTGGCAGATTATATATATATATATATATATATATATATATATATATATATATATATATATATATATATATCACCATGTCAACCTTATGACAGCCCTTCAAAGTAGGTATTGTTATTTCCATTTTACAAATGGGGAAACCAAGGCCCAGAGCCATTAAGCAACTTGTCAGAAGTCAGTCACTGGCAAGCAGCAGAGCTCAGACACAAAGGTAGGGATTTCTAATCCAAAAGCTTGCATTCTTTCCACAAATGCCTACAGGTAATACCTTACAGACTTGTGGTATTTAGAAAGAAAGCAAGGTCGGTTGGTTGGTTGGCTGATTTTAGCAATATATTTTGAGGTTCCTGCTCTCTCACACCCCACAGCCAGCAACCGGCTGCACCTCCCTGCCATCTTGCCCTGCCATGGCTATCTCCCCTGGACAGTTGGCTCCCTGATTTCACTCCTGCCCTCCTCTACATTCTTCTCTACACAGAAGCAGGAGGAATCCTATTGAAACACAAAACCAACTCATGTCACATTCCTCTCAAACCTCCTCTGGCTTTCCATTGCCCTCAGCACAAATCCTACAAGGCCCTACGTGATATGACCGGCCCCTCTTTAACCTCATCTGCAAACACTCTCTCCCAGCTCACCAAGCTCCAGTCATGATTTAATGTACCAACCATGACTCCCACCTCAGGGCCAATACACTCTTCTCTTGGCCAAAATCCCAAGCCCCCTGATACTCACTTGGTTCTCACTGTTGGTTCATTCCAGTCTTTGCTCATATGTTTCCTCCACTGAGCAGTCCTCCCTGACTGGCCTATCTAAAATAGTCCACACTATCCCCCTGTCCTGCTTCATTTTTCTCCTAGGGCTTGCCCCCACCTACCTTATGTGTCTCGTTATATATCTGTCCATGCACTGGAATGTAAGCTGCAGGGGTAGGGACTGGGGGATTTCATTCACCACTGTGTCCCTAGCATGGAGAAGAATGCCAGGCACAGCAGATGCTTCAAAAATGAATACTCAGTGAATACATGAAAGAATAAATAAGCCAGAAGCCCAAACAGGAAATAAAACCATCATTAAAAACTCCCTGGGAACCACAGATGAGCTTGGAATATGAATTTTATAGTGAAGATGACAAAGCAAAAGTTATGGAACTGACTTGGGTCTTTCCCACTCAGTGTTTCTCAATTAGTATGATAGAGCCCCATGAGTGGTCCATCTAATGGGACTGGCCTCTTTTATGCAGACTTTTTTGCATCTTTGGTCCCTGGTAACTCCATACTAGAGGAAGCCCAGTCATGTGACAGCTCTGAACTCCACTCAAATTCAAAACACCCCTGAGTAATGTGTTGTCACCCCTGTCCAGCCATGGTGAAGGCTCACCTCCATCTACGCCCATGATGAAGCGTCCCACAATGAGCATTTCAAAGGCTCCTGCCTGGAGAGAACAGGCCATCAGCAACGCAGCAGAAATCGCAAACCCATTGTTGACCAGCAGAGTGTACTTCCTAGAAAAAAAAAATGGGTGGTTTGATGAGGAGGCCCACCATGAGGATGTCAACCCACTCGTCCCAGGAGCAGGGGTAAGGCCCTTCAGAATGATCAGCAGAGCCAGACTCAGGCACAGTGGGAAGAGCACTGGCCTAAGGGTCAGGAACAGGGGCCAGAGCCCCAGGGGCTCCCACTGCCACCTTTGGCTGTGTGACCCTGAGCAAGGCACTTCCTCCCTCTGGGTTCACCACTGGGGCTGATTAGATCACTTTCAAAGGTGCTGTCATGATCTATAAATTCCCTGATGCACTACTGTATATTATCAATTCCTTATTGCCTGCCTGCCTTCCTGCTTGCCTGCCTTCCTTCCTTCCTTCCTTCCTTCCTCCTTCCCTCCCTTCCTTCTCTGCAGTTCATGTAACAATGCTTCTTATAAATGATGACCTCTTCAATTTGATGAACTACAGCACTATCTGTGAGGTTGAACTAATCCCCTTGAACATGGTCAGCCAAATTCCTATGGCAATAATACTATTAGCTGCTCTGTGCCAGGATTACTATCACTATTCTGTGAACATATCCCCAAAACGTCATAGTTGAGAAGTGTGACCTGTTTGGGGGTCTGGAGACCTGGGTCCCTGCACCAGTTGTAGCTTTTATGAGCTAGGTGACTGTACTTGATTGTGTTTTCCTTTCCTTATTTACAAAACAATCGTAATAGCTCACATTTACTGAACTCTTGCTATGTGATAAACCCTGTTCTAAGCACTTTACATGAGTAGCTCATTTGCTGCTCAAAATGATTCTATGAGGTAGGTACTTTATCTCTATTTTATAGATAAGCTAACCAGAATATAGACAAATTGGAAATTTATTTTGTTATACAACTAATGAGTCAAGAAGCTGGAGAAAAACATCATAGCTTCTCCACAGGATATTTTTCCCCTAATAATTCAATGAGTTCATAAATATTGAATTATTTTCTAAATAAAAAAAAAACCTAGGGACTTAAAAGGGACTTTGTTATTACCTTTAGGAGTTAGAGCCCTTAAATTCCAGGCCAGGGCTCTTCACACTAGTTTTTACATATCTCAAACTTTCCATTAAACTTTTCCCCCTTCCTACATCTTCTTGGAGAATCCCAAAGCTAACAACTTTCACAGCTCAGTGATGATGGTACAAGGACTGCTCACTGCAACATCTTCTGTGTTGGTGAACAACTTTCAATGGTGAACAACTGTAAACAACCCAAGTGTCCTTTAGCAAAGGACTATTTAAATAAATTATGATACATCTATATGAAGGCACATTATGCACACAGTAAAGCACAAGTGGCTTTCTATATTCTGATATGGGAAGATCAAGATATATTGTTAGATGAAAAGAGCAAGGTACAGGACTTTATGTAGAATATGCAACAATTTGTACAATAAAGAAGTGTGTGTGTGTGTGTGTGTGTGCACGCACATGTATGCATGCATGCAAAGACAGACACAAACCTTGAAAGAGATACACAAAAAAGTGGCATCACAGATTGTGTCTAGGAAGGAGATCTGACTGAAGAGAAATGCAATGGAAACTTTCTACTTTACATTCATTTCGTCCTTCTGAAAGTTATACCATACAAATGTATTAATTATTCAAAATATAAATACAATATCACTGTCAAAAAATTAATTTAAGTAGATGTCAAGATGAGGGGAAAATTATGATTTAGCCAAGACTTAAAATAGAAATTCCAATCTAGGCTGACCTCCCTTATTTTGATGCAGAAGGTCACAGAGTCAGGCTTCAATAAGATGAACCTAAAGGTACTAATTTCTGTTATTAGTGAGACCTCAAAGCATAGTGCGAATATCCTGGTGCCCCAAGTCTGTGCACTGTTCACAGCCCTTCCCTTCAGTCTTCTGAGGAACTGACATGTCAGCAGTAAGAAGAGAGCAGGGTGGTGGTGGGCAGACCTGCATTCTCACAGCAAGAGCTTTCACCAGCGAATCCACTTAGCCAATATTTAGTGAGTGCTACACAATGGCTTTACCATCGGGAGGAAGTCATCTCTGTCCTCATCCTCACAGGGTTTTAAATCTAGTTAGGAACACAGAAAAATAAACTGTCACACAGAAGTCACTTAGAAGTAAAGAGGGGCACCTGGGAGGCTCAATTGGTGAAGCATCTGCCTTCAGCTCTGGTCATGATGCCAGGGTCCTCGGATGGAGTCCTGCATCAGGCTCCCTACTCAGTGGGGAGTCTGGATCTCCCTCTCCCTCTGATTCTCCCCTGCCCCCGCTGGTTCTCTCTCTCTCTCTCTCTCAAATAAAAATTTAAAAAAGGAGTATCCCACGTCGGGCTCCCGGTGCATGGAGCCTGCTTCTCCCTCTGCCTGTGTCTCTGCCTCTCTCTCTCTCTGTGTGTGTGACTATCATAAATAAATAAACATTTAAAAAAAAAGAAAAAAAATAAAAAAGGAGTAAAGATACTGAGGCTGAGAGTGTGTAAGTGGGACCTGTGTCTCTCAATTGCCTGCCTATCCAGGGAATCCTTTCTCTGCTCTCCTGTCTCAAAGGGAACTACATTTCCCAGACTCCCTTGCTTCCCAGCTCTCTGGTAGGATTGGCCAATGAGAGGCCTGCTGTTAGTCTCCCCTGGGGAAAAGAGGCTGGGTACCTCCCTCCTGTCTCCCTGCTTCCACTGCAGCAGGTACATCTGCTCTGTGGCTCCAGCCTTCTCTGTGGTGTCAGCAACCTGCCCCCCTCCACCAAGTGGGCCTGGCTCATGGGCCCCAGCAGTGCTGCCCCTGCCTTTTGGCCTTCCATCTCAGGTATGGTAGCAGCTTGTCTGTGAAAAAGTGATTTCTCACAAGCCAAAATGTTCTCCCTGTAGCTCCTCTCTGGCCCCAGTTCTACTCCTTGAGACCTCACAGCACACATCCCTGTGGGTGTAGGGTCCAGTGTAAGTCAAGTTTGTGAAGAGGTTGTTGAGAGAGGGGAGGCAAGAGAAGAATGTTGAGGCCAGACTCAGAAGGTTCTTGGATATTGAGCAAAACAATAGGTTTCATAACCCACAAAGAGAAATAAAGGACTTGATCAGAAATTACACCTTGACTCCTATGCCCCTGCTCCAGATAAATTGGACCTTTGACGCTAGAAAGATAATCGTGATATTGGTAGCAATAATGCTGGCATTGGTTGGTGATTCTCAAGGCTGGCTGCTCATCAGATCCACTAACAGCGCATAAGAAGAGAGACTCTTGGGTCCATCCCTAGAGAATCTCAATCCTTGATGCAGACTCAGCAAGAGACATTTAGAAGAGTCGAGGAAGAGCATGGCTTTTACATAAATTATCTCATTTCATCTTTTACACCTGTATCCTGCAGCTTTTGTGAACTGGACAATTCACAGAGGATGAGGTGGAGGTGTTACAAGGTGGGGGGGCCCCCGGCAAGTGGCTAAAACTGCCCCAGAAAGGTAAGAGCCACTGGCTATCCACTACCAGAGAGCATCCACTCCTCTACTCCATCATTCCCATACGACCACAACTACTGTGTCTTGGCCCTCTTCCCTCTGCAGCCACTGTCCCTGTCTCAGCTTCCTTTTAGAGCGAAACTCCTTAAAGAATATGGTCTGCTCACCTCCCCTTCTTTCCTTGTCCCACTCTGATTAGATCATTGCTAGCACTCCTCTTCTTTGTGAAGATCATCAGGAACACAGACTCTGACACACACAACTGACAACGCTGTCTCCCCCAGTACAGCCTCTCAGCAGCATCTGATATGGTTGACTGTGCACTCTTTCTGGAAACAGAATCTTCTTGGGACATCTGGGATCCTGTCCTCTCCTGTTTTCTCCCCAGTCTTGAGGCTGGTTTGTCCTCCTCTCTCTCTACACTCTCCGCCCTGAGTGATCTCACCTAGTCCTGTTACCTTAATTGGCAACAATTCCCAAATATATCTCTGGCCGTGACTCATCTCAACCCAGACTTACATGTCCAACTGCCTCCTAGACATTTCCACTTGCATGTCCAGCAGGCATCTCCAGTCATGCATATTTAAATTGGAACTCTTGAGCTCCCACTGCTAACCACCCCCAACAAATGAATCCAAACCCCTCTTTCCTCAGTCTTCCCCATCTCAGTAAATAAAGCCTCCACTCTCTAGTGGCTTAGACCAACAATCTGGGAATAAAATAATACTTACATCTCTTATTTTCCTTCCAACCTACGTGCAATCAATCACTGAGTCATACCTACACAGCTTCCAAAATAAATCTCAGAGCAACACACTTCTTGCATTTCCAATCCACAGTGCCACAGTGGTACAGACCAGCATCTCATGCTCTGACAACTGCAAGAGACTTGGGTGGCTCCTGTGCTGCTGTATAATTCATGGTCCACGGAAGAGCCTTTCAAAGCAAACACTGACATACTTCCCCTTAACTGAAAAACCTTCTGGTGACTTCCCACTACACTGAGGATAAACTCCTCACTGAGGCCTATGAAACCTTGCATGAAATGGCCTTTGTCACACCATCTGATACTTGTGTCTTCATGCTCATGAGCCTTCCCACCATCTCTTGGGAGTGCCTCATGACCCATGTCCTGGGAGCCCCTCTATTCATTGTATGAGTGTCAGCTCACTCAAGTGATTCGAATGCCACCTCTGACACTATCTATTGTGGTTACTCCCTCCAAGTGCAGGGCCCATCCCCCATAACTCTACCCCCTTTCTATTTTTCTTTATAGCCCCAACAACACAGGTTATTAGCCCACATTTATTTGTGTTTATGTTGGCATGCACTCTACAAGAGTATAAGCTCCATGTGTGCAAAGATTTTGTCTTATCACTGTAGCCCCAGCCACTAAACCAGTTCCTGGCACATACAGGTGCCCCATATCTCTGTTGTGTAAATGAAGGAGTACATTCTAGGAGGCAAGTCATGTTAAGCCAGACTTCCTCCTTGTTGTCCCAGCTCTGGCCTGTTCTCAGTCTTCCTTTAGCTTCTAGGTCTGCTGGCAGGAAAA